ATTCATGTCTCGCCAATCACCACACCCTCCATCTTCTCCACGCACTCTTGCGCGCGTTCGCAGTTCGGCCATCTGAAGCTAACGGATCGGGGTTGCCTGGATCCCTACCCTCCTTTCCCTCTTCGCCTTCCACCCCCCTCCTCGCATCGTCCACCCCCTCATCGTTGTCCGCTCTTCGCTTCCACGGCCCATGTCCTCGATACTCCTACTCCTCGCGCCCCCCCCCCTTGGCCCCGGCTCGGAACGACGCCACAGGTACACGCCAGGTCCAGCTACACACCCACGCGACGCATCTCTGCCTGACAAGCCACCTTGCGCCAGGTACTCATCCCCAGGTAGTACAACTCCCGTTCCTGGCGTTCTTCTTGAGACCCCTCCGTCTTCTTTGCCGCCACCGCACAACTCGCACACCCTCCTCCTCCTACCGCTGCCCTGTCATGCGCTCCGCTTCTCCCTCCCCGCAACCCCCTACAGTACTGTAGATGATGGACCCGCCTCACGCTTGTCGACACGGCATTGATCTCCACACGAAGCATCTCGAGCCGTGGATCAACCTACCCTTGAATCCCCTTCGCCCCCCGTCCCCGTCCCTTATACCACTTTGCTATAGGGTGGCCCCTGTTTTGTATCCCCACATGGCATCGACGGTCCGCTTCCATGTCTGAAAACATCACTTTGGCTCGACGGACACTTCATATCCATATATATAAGTCTGCATTCCCATGCCCTTCTCCAGTACCATACACCTGGCTCTCATCCATACGAACCGACATTGTCTCTATCAACTTCATTTATTTTGCCTCGGCCTAACTCATTCTACCTACCACAACTTCACAAGGTCGACATCTCTCTGGTAGCCAAGCCTGTTCTTTCAAAGACATCATGGCGCCGTCCATTCCCATCCCTACTCAGGGTGGCATGTTCCATACCTGTGAGTCTTCTGCTGCTGCTGCTGCCAGACTACTCCTCGTATCATGGGCTCACATCTTCCAGTTCAGGGTGTTACTCCCAGGAAGCCCACAGCCGACTCCCAGGACAATGGCAAGACTCCTGGTGCGTCTGCTCAGAAGAGAATCACCACACCACACGCCTGTGCCGAGTGCAAAAGGCGAAAAATGTAAGTCTACCGGCCAGTGATGCAGTCGCCCCTATTCTGACATGGGACACCTCTGCAGTCGATGTGATGGCCAACAGCCCTGTGGCCAGTGCCTGTCCAGCCGCGCACCCAAGAGATGCTTCTATGACAAGCACCGCCAGCGAGTCATTCCTTCACGGAAGACGCTCGAGGCACTCTCGCAGTCCCTCGAGGAGTGCCGTTCGATCTTGAAGCGCCTCTATCCCAACCAAGAGACCCAGGCCCTCCTTCCCCTTTCTCGCCAGGAACTTCTAAGCTTACTCGAGCGTCCAGTGCTTGACACCTCCGTCGTGACAGCATTGCCATCACCGCCACTCAACACTTCACCTTTGTCGCAGGAGCTGGAATCCCCAATCTGTAGCTCCTCAGAACAGGGACTTTCGAGCCTCGAACAGATGCCCGGTCAAGACACAGAGTGGGATGAAGAGCGCCGCGGGCGTGACCCCATCCCCATCGAAGCTGACGATGTCAATGCTCTCGGGCTCTCCGTCGACCGCCAATCTTCATATCTGGGCGCCTCGTCTATCAAGGCTGCCTTGATGTGCATGCTCAAGGTTCAGCCTTCCCTGCGTACGCAGCTTACCACGCCGCTGAACACGGCTGAGATTGCCCACAACTTTCCAATCCGCCCCCAGCAACAGGGTCCCAAGGAAAACCAGCGCATCTCGTGGTCGTGGAAGGGCCAGACCCTCCTGGACGCCTACTTCAAGCGCATCAATGTCTTTATTCCCATGCTTGACGAGGCTGCCTTCCGCGCCGAGTACCTGGAGGGCCAGCGCTGCGACAGTCCGTGGCTCGCCTTGCTCAACATGGTTTTTGCCATGGGCAGCATCACTGGCATGAAGTCGGATGATTACAATCACGTCAACTACTATAACCGCGCCATGGAACATCTGCCCCTCGATGCCTTCGGCAGCAGCCACATCGAAACCGTCCAAGCTCTGGCTCTCATCGGCGGTTACTATTTGCACTACATTAACCGTCCAAACATGGCAAACGCCGTGCTTGGCGCCGCCATCCGCATGGCCAGCGCACTGGGACTCCACCGCGAGAGTCTGGCCCAGAGCGCCAGCGACATGGTCGCTGCTGAGACTAGGAGACGAACTTGGTGGAGCTTGTTCTGCCTCGACACTTGGGCCACCACGACCATGGGCCGCCCGTCTTTCGGCCGATGGGGCCCTGCCATCAACATCAGCCCGCCAGAGTTTGGCATTAATCAGGTGAGTCTCTTTCAGCCACGGAATAATTGTCTTGGCGGTGTCCGGTCGCACCCGCCCATCCCGCTTCCATCTCCCACCCACACTTCCCCACACCACCCTCATCTCCCCTCGCCCCTCGCCTTAACAAACAGCTCCCGTCAACTAGTTCATCGGCTAACCACCAACAAGGCCCGTGACTCAGCCCAGCATGCGGGCGTCCTGCCCCTGATTGAGAACATCAAATTCTGCAAGATTGCAACGCAAATTCAAGACCTCCTCGCCATTTCGCCGCTCCTGCGTACCGAGGATCGGTGCAACATTGATGGTCAGCTTGTGAACTGGTATGCCAACCTCCCGTGGCTGTTGCGCACCACAGACCCGTGTGCAGAGCCCCTCTATATTGCTCGATGCATCATGAAGTGGCGCTACCAGAACCTCCGCATGCTGCTGCACCGTCCGGTTCTTCTTAGCCTCGCCAGCAACACCAGCAGCGGCGTCATGCTTGCCCACGTTGCGGAACAGGACATCGCTGCCATTGAGACCTGTCGTGAGCTCGCCAAGCAAACCATCGAGGACATTGCTCGCGAGTGGACTCGCAACCAGATGTCAGGCTGGAATGCAGTCTGGTTCCTTTACCAAGCTGCCATGATCCCCCTCATCAGCGTCTTCTGGCAGTGGAACAGTCCTCGCGTGTCCGAGTGGCACAAGCAGATCGAGACAATCCTAGACCTTCTTGAGGCCATGGAGGATTGGTCCCTTTCTGCCCGCCGCAGCCGCGAGGTGGTCTGGCGTATGTACGAGGCTTCACGCCAGCCCAGCATGCGCTCCGAAAGCCAGAGCCAGAGCCCCGTTCTTCACGCCATGGGCAGCAACGAACACGGCAGCATTCTCATGGCCGCCGAGGCAGAGCTTCGCATGTCCCCTATCGGCTTGGAGCCAGAGGGCATGGGTATGATGGGCATGCTCGATCAGCAAGGTCTTTGGGACCTCGACGGAATGTTCTGGGGCGGCGCCTCAGGAGACTCCTCGACTGACGCCCAAAGCCACCCGCACCACCAACAGCAACAACCTGGCGGCGTCGACTTTGGCGGCTTCAGCGTCAACGAGCAGATGATGCACATGGACTACAACATGATTGGCACTCCCGCTTCTGCAGTGACCATGGACGGTGGCTTCTTTGTCCACTAAGGCCGCTACGATAGGTCCCACACATACACCCACCCCAACTCTCACTCTTACACTACATACCATTTCCTTGTGCCACCGCATTGCCTTGCCTTTCCTCGCCAGAGTGTGGTGGTACAGCACAATACCCCTGTTCATACAAATCTGTTTCTTGTCACATACCTTTGATGATCCATGTGGATCTCGCCTCATTTTTTTCTCTCTCTTTTTCTCTTTTTTTTTCTAGCACGGTACGACACGGCATGTCATGCATCTATCAGGCCAGGCACCTCAAAAGGTGGAGATGGGGGCGAAAAAAATCGCGGGCGTCTAAGAGGTCGACGGCCCGATGGTTGCGCCCGAGATGAGGGTGGCAGGAACCACACAACCCTTGTTGTATGTATGAACGAAGAAAAATGACGACGCAGCACATGAGATGGAACGAAATACCCCAGAACCCGAGATGATGATCCGGCGTCTGTTGAAGCGGGAGCAAAGACGACGCTCCATAGGCCTCGTGGCCCAGATGAGTAGATAGTGACGAAAGAGATCAGAAATTTCCATGCAACACCTGCGTTTGCCCCTCGCCCGTGATGAGATCAGACCTCTGCCTGTGGCGAGAGGCCAGCCTACAAGAAGCTGTACCGTTCAAGCGCAAAAAGAGGGACACCCAGCAGGCGCCGTGCGCCGTCCTGAGCAGGGACGTCATCTTGGTGTTCGGCACACTAGCGCTTGGCGACGCCGTTGTCGGTCCTGCAATTCCGACAGAGGGAACAAGGGGCTCCTGGCGCGCTATTTTCGCCCGTGGCTGACCGTGGCGTGCACACCTCGTCTTGATTTCTGCCCTGCCATGTCATATCAAAACCACGCCTGTGTGTGACGAGTCGGGGCCGGAACAAAGGGAAAACAAAACGTTGTCGCGAGTCACTGTTTTGCGCTCGCGCTAGAGCGACAATGCAGGAGCGGCAAGGTGGTGTGGGCGATGAGTGAGCAAGTCGCCATTATTGACAATAGAAAGCAATTTCGGGCGCCCGACGGCAAGCGATCTCGCCAGCCTCGATGGAACTGTGGGATACGGCAAAAAGTCGCAAGAATGTGTGTCGGCCATGGCTGGCTGGCGGTCTGGAAGGCTCGGATGCAATGACATCTGACACCGAGGCGAGTCTGGATGTATTCTCGGGCGCGCCATTTTACTTCCTCGAGCGACAACATCGGGATGGACCAGAGAGAACCCTCCAATTTCCGCACTTGTGGTGCGAGTAACGAGAAGGCCTGTTTGAGCCGGCCGGCGCTAAGGCCGGAGCAAGTTTGTGATTATTTGTTACACAACAGCGAGAGAGCAAGGGTGAAGGAGGGCGTCGTCGCAGTGAGTGGTAGCGAATTGTGTGGTTGTGTGGCTCCTCCCCAGGGTATTCATCCTTTTACCCAGGTTCACGTGGTCCTCTTCTCACCTTGTCTGATCGGCCGAAGCTGCCCTCTTTGTGTGGTCGGTGCCTGTACGGACAGGGTAGACGAGCATAGAGGAGCGGCCTGTGTGAGTAATGAGGCCACGATGGCTCGAGGTTTGGTAGCGGCCAGACGGGAGTTGGCATGAGCCAGGTGCAGTCGCAATTGGCTGGCAAAAGCTGGCACTTGGGTCGGCGCCATGTCGAAAAGGCAATTTGGGTTTTCGGCCCGTAGCGAGGGGTGGGGAGACAGTGTGTTCCCCCTCAAGTCTCGGGTACCTGATCAGAGTGGCAGAACTGCGTGGACCAGGAGATGATCCCTGGGGCGGAGCTTGTACCAGTACTGCCCACCGACCCCTGGCAGGGGTGTCGCCAGGCACAGCAGGGGGAACGGGTTGCTATCAGGGGACGGCCTGTTCCAGTGCGGGGAAGAATGTTCGATCGAGAGTGGTTGGAGATGGGGCGTGTGAGCGGCCTTGATAGAGGGGGTCTAGGTATCCGGTCCATCGATCAGCGAGGCGTTGTTTACCTCGTGGTTCGAAGGTGCATCGCCTGCCGGCGATGCTGTGCCATCACACGACGATTCCTTGCCGGTCGATGCCAGCTCTGCAATACATGCAGCCAGCCAGTGGCACGAGCCAGGGGCGTCTTAACCGCAAATGCGCAGAGCGAGGCTCAAAGGGGGAATCTGTGCGCGGCATCAGCCAGCAGGCCTACGTCTGCGCCGTAAGCCTCCACACCCCCAACCTTCAGAGGCAAGATTTCCTGATGTCTTGCATAGAACTGCCTTTGTTCAACGCAAGACTCCCAGAGGCGCCACACAAGCCATGGCGATGCGCTCCGCTCAACCAAGCCTTGATGACAGTGTGGGGTACACACCATCTCGTGGTAAGGAGGGTGGGTGCGGGGTTCATGGCGCCCTGAGAACATGATCCGACAAGATCAAGACTGGTTCAGACCATCCCGAGAGGTCAGCAGATAATGCTACACCCAAGTTGGGGTGTTGTTTCTCCAATCTTTGCTGCCCCGAGTCATTAGCGGTGGTGAAACGACTTGACATCGCATGGGCTCTTCCCCGCAATTTTGTTAGACTCTCGGTTGACGTGGTACAGGCGAGACATTTAGCTTACTTGGTACATACTATTGCAGATCCCCATGGACGCCGGGCCTTCGTTCCCGACTCCCTGATTGACTGCTCTGATCAGTCCAGTGACGCTGTATCCGGCGAGCCAGTTCTACGCTCGTTCATAAGATAAAATCGATTGATGCGAGCCAAAGGCCGATGCGATGCAGCTGGGATGCTACTGAACAAGGGCACCCTTGCCCTTCCTGGTTGGCAGATGAGTGAGCCCCGCGTCGATCCGGGGTCGCAGGGTTTCGCAGTGAACACTGCTGTACTGTGCTGCTGCCCTAAGATGCCAAGTTCCATGAGGTCACCTGGATCGATGCCCATCATCGGTGAGCTGGCTTTTTGGCCTTGTTGCACAGTCGCTGGGGTCCTCCCGACCCGTGACGGTGTATGGCGGTTCACCGACGCTGCCAAGTAGTAATCATGCAGCCCTTGATGTTCAAAAAGACTGCCGAATTTCGTTGGATCTTTCGACCTTTACTTTGTCAGTACGTTGGTTCGACCAGTCAGTTCAAGTATGATGGTGACCCAACACAGCGGTAGCGGTCGAGCCATGACTCGCCGGCAGCATACGCTGCGCCTGAAGAGGCAGTAGAATGTACGCGAGCGTTGGTGTTCCCTGAGGCTGATGCATCGATAGCCGATCTTGCAGCGACCCAGCATGGGATTCTTGGTCAATTTTGTCCGTCACTGGGTCTCGGTGTACCGGTAGTTTGACCGGTCAGTCGAGCACCGGTGACCATGCCACATGGATGACGCTGCTGTGCGCCACACACTGCGACACGTCCTGCAGGGCCAACTGTCAAAGTATATCAGGGCATGGTCGCCGTTGGTTCGGCTTCATACTTGTATCTCGGTTCCAATCGCCCGGAAGCGATTGAATCTGTTACTTTGTACGCCAGGTCGTTGGTGCGCGAAGCGTACACTAAGGTTGTGCGACACCGAACATGTGCGACTAATTCGACGACAAAGCCAATGGCGACGGCGACGCTGTTTGAACCCGAAGATGAGTTGCGATAAGCTCTGTAAAGCAAAATTCCACAGAGTATCTATGCAACAGGATGAATATCTACCCTTTTGGTCCCAGAGCAACATTTCCACATAAGGAGGCAGGCGGTACCGACAGGCCGCGGTGCCTGCCATGCGCGCGGGTTGGCGACTGCCCTGGTTCAAAAGAAATCGGGTAAGCTGGCAATCGTAACCCAAGACATGATACCATTCATGCCCTTTATTGAAGACCCATTTACGATTTGCGTCTGGGCCGCACATGTCATTGATATGGCATCGGCACCAAGGACGACAGTACGCTCCGCGTTAGGTACCTACAAGGCACTCAACCTGAGGAAATTCAGATCATTTCGTTTCAACGACGGTGAGAACACACCGTAGCCAGGGTCGAGAAGGCACAGCCCAGTCGACACGATGGAGCACTCTCTGAAATGCAACGTCCTCAAGTGCCGACAGGAGATTACAGACCGAGCACTGGTAACAACATGCAGGTGAGTATCTGTACATGCTGAATTGTCGGTCCTTTCTTCAGTCCTAACAGAAATCACGCAGCCACATATTCTGTATAGATTGCGCCGGACGCTCCGGTCTCGCTGGCCAGTCTGAACGCCGCAGCAGCTGTCCTGCTTGTAACAGCAATCTTGGCAACCCAGACGACGCCGTCATTGCTATCCTCAGTCCTTCAGAGGAGTATAAGACTAGTGTGTTGAGTGGTCTGAGTCCCAACATCATCATGGAGTGCGCTGGTAGAGCACTGAGCTTTTGGGCCTATCAAACGACCCAGGAGATGTGGGTGGACGCCGGAGTACGAGCATTTCTGCACTTGCTGACGATCGCCAGTGTGTATCAGAAATATCTTGAGAAAACCTTGACCGACAAGTACAAAGCGCTCGATATGCACCTAGACAAGACGGTGAACGAGGCAAACGCTGAAATCGAGAGTATACAGGGGCAGCTGAGGGGTACGCCCCCATCCGTCGACCATGTCAGTTCTAAAACTGACTGGTTCAATGGCAGACTTGGCGCTACAGAACGACTCAATGCGCCGAAAGTATGACGAGCTCGGCCAGGCGTTCAAAGACAAGAGCCGTAAACTATTGCAAACCCAGGAGCTCTACGACAGGGTAAAGAGAAAGGCAGAGATGGGGCAAATGCAGGCGGCGGCTTGTGATGCAGTGGACTCTCACCTACAAATGAATGTCTTCTCGGACACACGCGAGAAAGGGAGCCCGCGACAGGGTCTCTATGAACAGCAAGCTGACTTTAGCCAATTTCACAAAAGCCGAGGGTCTGACAGGACAGAGATGCCACCGCCTCAGAACCGCGGAGCATCTCAACTCGTGGCTAACGATGAGCTTTGGGCAAGGCAAAACACATTGTCTGGGAGTGAGTAGGACCGCGGGTTCTACAGTTACAAGTATCAAGGCTGACCTCAAGTTTCGCAGTAGACACGCAGAAGGCCCCGATGATCACACCTGTTCGGCAACGCACACGCAACACGGCGAATATCGGCCTCTCGGCAATCCCCGGACTTGTTGCAGGTTCGCCAGTACCGTTAAACGGGTCGACCCGCATGCAGGAGTTCACCATACGAGAACAATCAGCGGTCGCTGGAAATCGCGAATCCGGGGTGGGTGACCCGTCGATCAATGCTGCTCACCTGCATCATCCTACGAGCAGCAGCGCAACGCCTGTGCCACGTGGTAAGCACAACGGACCAGCCTCTCGTGCGGAGAAGATACCGACTGATTGCTTAGTGCCGCAACGATCGATTTTGATTTCGTCCGCTTTCGCGAGGCCGTGAAAGTGAATAGCCCACTATCGAGGCCTTCCAGCAGTGTAGGTTTGACTGATGCGAATGCCAATAAGTTGTCAAGGCAGGCTGATACATCACGCAAGTCACGCGTTCGTGTTTCAACGATTTGCTTCGGAGAAACGCAAGTAGAAAGACGCATCATAGGAAACAGCCATGCTGTGCTAAAATGCAATGACCCAACCGCACTGTGATTATTGCTAAACAGATTGTATGCTAGACAATACTCTTGTTCGTGAGTACAGACAAAGGGGTGCACATTAGGTTGATGTACCCATGCCGAGCAGTTCACTCGCTCAGACGAGTCTCCAGAATCGCGAATGTGCATTTAAACCAATTTTTTTCTTCTGAACTTCTCTGAATCCAGACTTTTGAGGATTGACATCCTTACCTTGAAGAAAAAATGCGCCACCAAACCTGCGAGAAACGGATGGCACGTCTCTCAAAGTACAGCCTGAAGGCTGTTGGCACGAGAGTCTGCCTGAAGCTTGGGAAGACCAAGCAATTATGTCGCAGACTGTTAGGAAGGAGGCCTACTGGCATAATTGCTGTGCAACAGTCTAGCTGGGTTGAGGCCTTCGTTCCTCAGCCGTATTCTCCCTTCATGTCACCAGCCTCGCCAGGACTTGCGGCAACAGAAGAACCGACCATTCAACATGGTACTGATGCACAGGAACCCTTGTCTTTGGCCCCATACATGGTACCGCGAGATACCACGGGCGAGACAACTCAGCCTCCACCACGTCTCTCAGCTGACGCGCCACAGAGTCCGCGTCTCGACCCGGTTGCTGAGATGGGGTCTCAGTCTTTGACCGCAATCGCTGCTGGCAGTGATTGTCTGGCAAGTTCAATGACACAACCGCGCATCGACAGAAGAAATCTTGGTGAGCCGTGGGAGTCGCTACACTCCAACCCAGTACACCTAGATGTTTTAGACATGTCAGCAATCTCGACAGCGCCAGGGTCTGTTTTCGATGAAGCGGATCCTCCTAGCAACCTCCAGGAGTGCCGTATCCCAGGCGAAACAGAGGACCAGTCTCTCAATTCTCTCGCTGGTGAAGTGGAAAGCCTCAAGCAGCGGCTTGCGGAGGTGATGCGCCTCCGTGAGCGCGAACGCGAGCAAGAGAGATGTCATCGAAGAGATGAGCAAATTCAGAAGGAACGGCTGCACAAAGAGCAACTTGATCACGAGAGGGAGATCAATGCACAACGCCTCATCGAGATGGCACAATTGCACGATGAAGCGCTTCTTCAGGCGAATCGAGATCACGCAGACAATCTGGCAGAAGCTGTCAGCCAGGTAACGCGCAAGCTCGAGATGGAGCGACAAGCTCTTCACGCAGAAGATCTCCTGAGTGTCGAGGCGTATCGTAAGTTATGGACTGCGGAGGTTGGTAGACGGACTAAGCAGGAGAAGCAGTTGGCGATGGTAAGAAAGGAGCTGATTGCTGCGAACGGCAGACTGAGAGAGAGTGCCGGGCTCTGTTGAGCGTGCTGATCTACTACAGGTTTGTTGATCCGTCGAGCAAGGGGCCGTCTGGAGCTAGCACAGCGGTCAATGACGTATTGCTAAGGTGCGAAAGCTTCGGGGCATCAATGAGACGATGAAATGCTGCGTCGGCGAACGACTTTGCTCTCTTCACTCGACATACTGTGCAACCACAGCGGGGGATATCACGAAAACGCAGAAAGCTGCAGAAGAATGATCGCACAAGAACGAGGTGAGGGATCACAAGGTGAAGGTAGTTCTAGGTAAGGTATCTGAGGTAGGTAGGTAAGGTAAGGTAGGTTGGTAAAAAGGTAGGTGGACAGTTAGGCAAATGCAACTGTCAACGTGCGACGATATGGAGCGACTGATAACAGCCGCACAGTACTATCATCGAAGCCCGATCCCGCCCCAGACGGTTACTTGACTCTCTCACAGGTGGTGTAAATACCGTGCTAACACAGTGTGCACCTGCCAACCTTCCATTCCTCAGCTCGAGACATTTGTGCATCAAACATGATTCCACACATGTGCTGGGCGAAGCCGATCCATCACATCACATCCTGAGAGCGTCGAACTCTTGCAAATCCAAGGTAAACAAGTGCAAGTCTGTCAGCCAAGCAGTCTCCTTAATCCCTAGCTCGCCGGACGCATCAGCTACCTGTCATGGCCACTTCCCCTCTCAAGGTTGCTATCTTGATTGTATCAACGACGGCATCCAAGAATCCAGCCTCGGACAAATCCGAGTTGGTCCTGAGAGATGTCATAGAATCCGAAGGCGGAGGCCAGTGGGAGGTCGTCGAGACCAAGATCGTGTCAGACCATGTCCCTCAGATTCAGCGTCAGATCATGCTCTGGGCCGATCTCGGTGCCGATGCTGTCAACCTCATCGTGACCACTGGCGGGACAGGTTTCGCCGTGACGGACCATACACCTGAGGTGAGTCTCTGCATCTAAGGTTATCCATGTCGTCTACCGACTGACTCCCTGTAGGCCGTCGGTGCTTTACTGCACAGACAGGCTCCCGGCATAGTTCACGGCATGCTGGCCACATCGCTGGCGGTGACGCCTTGTAAGTATATCTACAGATCAAGATTCGCAAATGCCAGCCAACTGAAACTTTCCAGTTGCCATGATGTCTCGGCCCGTCGCTGGTGTGAGGCACAGCACCGTCATCGTCACTTTGCCAGGCTCACCAAAGGGCGCCAAAGAAAATCTGCAGGCCATCCTGAGGACGCTCCCACATGCCTGTCTGCAGGCTGCAGGCGTAGACTCAAGAGCCCTGCACTCAGGTGGCGTCAAAAAGCTGGAAGCCGATGCTGGTATCAGGGCGGGCCAATCAGCCAGCTCACAGACTCACGGAAACGATCATTCTCATACCCACGGTCATGGCCACAGCCACGACCACAACCATGGTCAAAGTCACAACCACGGTCATGGCGGCTTGGTCAGACACACCGGAAATCAGCAGGTAGTTTCGAACGATCCGAGCCTGGGACCTACCCGACGGTATCGAGAGTCGCCCTACCCTATGTTGGCGGTAGAAGACGCCCTGGGCATCATTGAGCAGCACACGCCGGAAGCCGACATCGTCTCTCGCAAGGTGGATGCTGACCTCATTAACGCAGTGTTGGCAGAAGACGTGACGGCCAACGAAAATGTGCCCGCTTTCCGTGCCAGCATTGTTGATGGCTATGCTGTCATCGTTCCCAAAGACGGCAACATGAAGGGCGTGTACCCAGTGACTGCGGTGTCGCATGCTGCCCCGAGCGAGATCGGCACCCTCAAGGAGGGCGAAATTGCGCGCATCACTACGGGGGCGCCTCTGCCACCTGGGGCCACCTCTGTTATCATGGTCGAGGACACTCTGCTCAAAACTAAGACGGATGACGGCAAAGAGGAGAAAGAGGTCGAGATTCTTGCAGACGGAGTGAAGCCTGGCGAAAACATTCGTGAAGTCGGCAGCGACATCAAGAAGTTAGACACTATTCTCCGCAAGGGCGAACAGATTTCTGGCATCGGCGGCGAGATTGGCCTTTTGGCTGCCGTCGGTGTGGCCTCGATCAAGACCTACAGAAGGCCCGTCGTGGGTGTTTTGTCCACTGGCGACGAGATTGTCGAACATGACCGAGAAGGCGAGCTGCGTCTCGGCGAAGTCCGTGATACGAATCGCGTCACCCTTTTGGCGGCTGCCAAAGAGCGAGGCTTCGAAGCCATCGACCTCGGGATCGCACGCGATCGGCCTGGTGCGCTGGAAGAGACGCTGCGCGAGGCCCTGCGTAAAGTCGACTTGCTAGTCACAACAGGTGGTGTGTCTATGGGAGAGCTTGATCTGCTGAAGCCGACCATTGAGCGATCTCTCGGCGGCACCATCCATTTCGGCCGTGTGGATATGAAGCCCGGTAAACCGACCACATTTGCGACTGTTCCGGTTAAGACCAACGCCGGCGAGAGAGTCTCAAAGCCGGTTTTCGCCTTGCCGGGAAACCCTGCCAGTGCGCTTGTGACCTTTAATCTGTTCGTGCTGCCTGCACTGCACAAGCTGGCCGGTGTGGAACCCAGGAGCCTGTCCAAGGTGCCCGTAGTGCTGGCCCATGGTTTCGCCTTGGACAAGGGGCGACCCGAGTACCATCGTGCTGTCGTCACTGTTGGGAAGGACGGTGTTCTGCACGCCAGCAGCACAGGAGGACAGCGAAGCTCGCGCGTGGGCAGCCTTCGGTCTGCCAACGCCCTACTATGTCTGCCGAAGGGGAACGGGCCTCTCGAGAAGGGGGCTCAGGTGCACGCGCTGTTGATGGGTGGTGTACAAGCCGAAATCTGAAAGCCTCCCGTGCGGGTTTCAGGGAGACATGGGACGCTAGTCGTAGTGTTGTTCAATCCCTACATGGGCCCCCTAGGTCCTCATTACAGACCCAGAAGCACGAATGAAGAACGTTCAGTTAATATCACGACTGGTGGGCAGGAAACCTTGCAGTGAATCGGCCGAGTTCTCGCCACTCGGCAGCAGGTATGAAGGAGTCTGATGTTAATAAATGACACCCAGGTCCTGTACTGGGATATATGGGAATGCTATTACACTACTGCCCGTGAATTTCTCATGGACCTTGTGTTCCGACAGTCGTTTAGCAGTTCCTGATGCGTTGTATTTGCAACAAACATCCGAAGCGCGGTGTAAAGAGCCAGCCATGAGTGTACAGGTCCATTAACAAAAGTGATGTTACAGTATAAGACAAGTCCTCTCCCAGACCTTTATCCGTGACGCCTGGCCAAGTCCTCGCTCGTCCTTGGTCGTGATGCAAGCTGCTGCTGGCTGCTCCCGATACCGCCTGAGCCCATCGAGCGGAACCCCTGATATCATTGCGTGGCCCATCTGGCCTCCTTTCGTGGGTGTTGATTTTGTAACTTGTAGACAGCTTCGAAGCGGGTCCATCTCTCGCCCATCCCTTGTCTATTTGCCTCCAAACTCGGTCGCCTTGCTGGAAACAAGAAGGCCGACAATGAGGCCGAAAAGACCCAGCACAGAGCTGAAAATCTCGACAACGAGAATCTTGACGAAACTACGCGTTGGATCCTGTTAGCATCCGATCCGCCGGAAAGGGCGCAAAAGAACCACTTACAGGCTGGGGTCCGCGGCATCTGCCAAGGCAGCACTGCTGCCGTTGATACCGACGGCGACACCACAAATGAGGTTGCACATGCCTACAGTCAGGCCAGCCCAGAAAAGCGCGAAGCCCGTGTAATAGCTGTTTCCGTCGTGCAGTTCGGCGCCAGAGATGTAGCTCAGCTTCGAAGAGAACACAATGGACATGATGACGCCGTAGATGGCGACGACCTCGCAGAAGATGATCGAGATGAGGTTCTTTGTGCGGATGCGGGGGGCCTTGACGCCACCGCCGAGGATGGAGGAACCGGTGATGAAGATACCCCTATCAAGTCGCACTGGTTAGTACAGGTGCTGAGATCGGGTCGCCAATGGTGTAGAGTTTGCGACGGGTTTGCATCGAGGGAGTGAGCGCGTACCATGCTGCGCCAACCACGGAGAGGGCAATGCAAAGGGAAACGCCCAGAGAGGCCCAGGAGTAGGGTGACGTCGATTCTAGGAAGGCGCCAACGTTGAACGCCTCTCCGGAGCCCGTGAAGAGCATGTCTGGGGTATAGAGATTAGCCTAGCGACCTTTCCTGGGCTGCGCAACGCCGGAGGGGACGTACAAGCTCCCACGACGAGCAGGGAGCTCCCGATGCCTCCCAATCCATAGGTGAGACTCATATTGATCGTATTTCGGCGTGTCGTCGTCGATACGATAGTGTTGAGGCGGGCGTGTTCGTCGGTATCGTGTCAATCAGTCAGGCCTCTGATTGAAGCTGCGGCAAGCTCTCACGAGGTTGCCTTGGACAAGCACTCGATGTTATGTCATCCGAACTAGAGCCGGTTCAATCACGTGCAGCTGTGAGCTTGGCAGCCTGGAACTGCCTGCTGAGTCATCGGGTTTACAACCTCCCGGATCTCCAAGCTACCGGGAACCTCCACACGTCAACACCACCTACGCCACCTTGGTAGACCTTCCGACGATCACAAATCAATCGTCAAGATGGCTTCTAACCCCGAATCGTTCTATGAACTGTACAGGCGCAGCAGGTACAGCTCCTTGCTACACATTGGTGTCGTCTTTATAACTTGACTAACCCGTTCGCCCCGCCTGACAGCATTGGCCTCGCGCTGATGGACATGCTCGACGATCTGATCAGCGCTGAGCGCATCTACCCGCAGTTGGCCATGAAAATCCTGGCCAACTTTGATCAGGCCATCACAGAGGCTCTTCAGAAGAACGTGAAGGCTCGTCTGACGTTCAAGGTGAGCAGGCGACGGATGATGCACGTTGGGCCGTACCATGGAGCTAACCACGAGGGGCGCTGCTTTGCGCTCGCTGGCTGTGCAGGGGAGCTTGTCGACGTACCGCTTCTGTGACGAAGTCTGGACCTTTCTCATCAAGAATGTCCAATTCAAGCTCGATAATGGCGGGCAAATGGTCTCTGCGGACAAGGTCAAGATTGTGAGCTGCAACGCCAAGAAGCCTGGTGAGGGCCCTTGAGCTGCTTCGAAGGAGACATGGTCTCGATGGGTCCACAGCGAACACGACATACGACAATACGTAACGATGGTCGGGCGAAGAGAATACTGCATCAGACATGGGTACGGGTACGGGTACGGGTCCGGGGTTGGACAACGGCGTTCCGGTACTGCTTTCACCCGGCTGCGGCCGTTTTACAGATTTGCATTTCCTGCGGGATTGGGGGCACAAAGTCAAACGAGAATGACGAATGGACAAGGACATTGAGTCAATGATAACAGGCTTCGAAATACAAGCAGCCGACCCTGAGGCCATGACTGTGACCGTCTCTGGATAGTTGGTGTATTGTGCGTTGCGTGGCTGTGAAACTGGTTTGACTGCATACCCGTTCCGCGACGATCCTTTGTTTGTCACCAGTGAACACTTGACCGAGGATTCGTGTCAAGCTAACTAAGTTGGGCACAGGGGGGGGAATCGCCAGAAAGGGGCAAAAACAGCAGAAGTAGTGCCGTAGAGGTGAACACACAGAAGTGCTTTCTCTGGCATTTGGTATATCTACAAGCCGGACCAGGCTGATCTACTTTCTACGTTTCCTAGAAGCCCCAGAATCGTCAGCGGACTGCCTCTTCCTTCCCTCCTTCCGCCAGAATTCCTTGCTCTCCTTCTTCTCTCTTTCCTCCTTCTTTGCCTCGCCATCCGCAATCTTTTTGCGGTATGCGGCGCGCTGCTCCTCTTTCTTGGCTGCCCTCTTCGCCACCTTCTCATTGCGAATGGTCGTAAGCTGCTGCATCAAGTTCTTGGCGCGCTTCTCCTCCTTCGTGGACATGACTGCGCGCTTCTGCATGTACGTCTCCTTCTTCTGCTTCTTCGTCTGCACGATCTGTGATTTGAAAGGCAGTTCGGCAGCAAGGGCACGCGGCACCCGGAGAGGGTTGAAGTGGCGGGTCTGGCGCTCAATCTTGCGGTACTGGCTGTTCTTGAGCTGCGGCGTGGCGATGCTCTGATCGCGGCGAACCTCTCCTGTCAAACGCATGCCCTGCCAGCCGATCATATTGGTAACCGGGTTGTAAAAGCGATGCGGCTTGATAGGGTACCAGGCGCGAAGGAAAATGATGTCGCTGTAGAGAATCTTGTCTTCAAAGGTTGCACGGAAGTTGCCCTCGGGTTTGGAGAGTGCGCGCTTGATCTGTCCACGAATGCCGGAAACAGTCTTGATCGAAGCACCTTCAAACTTGGCAATCTCGAGAGATGAGTTGAACATTCCCTTGATGAAAGCGGTGTTCTTGTGGATTTTGTCGGGTGTACCAGTGAGCTTGAGCTTCTTGACAATCTCGGTGGACTCGTCAACGCTGAGCACTGTGCCTGTTGCTGCTATCCTGAAGCCCGGGTTTTCCGATGAGAAGGAGTTAAAGCATACAAAGCCAGTGTTGGGCGCGATCAAGGGAGCGTACACCGTCGCGAAGCAGTGCATATGTTCGGGTGTGTACTTGAGCATACGATTCCTCGTCCGCGAGTCCGTTGTGCTGTAGATAGGCATCGTCTGGAACCGACGCCATCCCAGGGAGAAGATCAATGGATCGTTCGTCTTCAGGATCTTCTTGTGCCAACGGTGCTTCTTCATCCTGACCTGGACGTAGCCGAATCGATCTTCTGTGGCAGAAAGACCGCCAAGGATCAAGGGTGTCTTTGCCGAGAACTTTTCAACAAACTCGGCCGGAACGCCCTCGATGACGAGCTTGGCGTATCTACCAGCCTTGTAACCCTCCACTGCACTTCTTTGGCGCTCGTCAAGTTCCTCGAACTCGGCCTTGTTGATATCCAGTTGCTTTTGAATCATAGCCTTCTGTGCGTCATACCAGTCGTCTTCGCCAAACTCTTCAGTCTCACCACCTTCACGTCTGGCCTTCGCTTTGTCGTTCATGAAGCCTTCCCGATCTTCCTCTTCGAATCGAAGTTTGAGCTCCTCTTTACGCCGTGCGTTTTTGGCTCGCTCATCCTCTAGGGACTCGGGCTCTTCAGCAGGGGCTTCGACGCCTTCACCTTCTTCGGCATTCTCAAGATCCTCGAAAACACCATCGCCTTCGTCATCCTCATCGTCGTCGATGCCGTCAAATTCTTCGTCTTCTTCACCACTCTCACCGTCCTCCCTCGACAGCTTGGCCGAAGTGAATCGTTGCCTCAGTGCCTCCACATTCTTCTCCACGGACCACTTCGCGGCCAGGTCCTCGTAGTCGTACAGGGGTATCGAGCGGTCCTCGGCGTTGTCTTCCTTCTCCTGTGTCGTTTTCTTGAAAAAGTCCTCATCGTCGGAAGCCTCAATGTCCTCTTCCTCGTCATCATCATCACCTCGCCACCTCTTCAGCACCTGTTCGGGTGTCATGGAGTCGTCGTACATGAATCTTGCGAGATCCGGCGTGTGGTATGAGCGCTTCTTGCCGTGGAGTTTCTTCGCACGAGAAGACATGTTCTCTTTCCACTTGAGCGCCGCAGCCTCTTCGTCAGAATCCATATCCTCCTTGTCCTCATCGTCGAAATCGCGCTCCTCATCCTCGTCGAATTCGTCTTCGGAGCCCTCGTCAGATCCGGACAGAGAGCCGAGATCAGAGTCGCTGTCCGCAAACGCTAGATCGTCGTCGGTGGCTTTCTTGTCGGCATCCTGCTTGAACATTTTGCCGAGTTTTCCCTCGTCGAACTCGGTTTCGACTTCGGAATCGCCCTCGTCTTCGCCACTAACGAACCCCTCATCATCTGGGACCTCCTCATCGGAGCCCTCATCGCGATCTGCAAACCGAGCCTTCCGCTGGGTTTTGCGACCGGTGTCTTCTTCTTCCTCCTCTTCCTCCTCCTCCACAGCCTTGACCTGGTCGCCGCCCTTGAAGAGCTGCACACCCTCCTCAGTTTGACCTAGCAGCTTCCTCTCGGCCTGCAAACCAACAATGAGCTCCTCGCCCTCGCCGCGCTCAACGTCCGCGTCCTTGTCGAAAGTGAATCCCTTTTCTCTCGTAATCCAGATGGCATCGCCATCTATCCTGAGGCCACTTCGGTCTGACATGGGAGCGTGCACCTTCTTGTCCTTCTCATCAAGCCTTCGTCTCGTGGTTTTACCAGTGATTTTGGCGATAGCCTGCTCCATTGCGGGGGTTGGGCATGGATCTGGTAGGACCTCCATGTTGGCAATTGAAAAATCGCCCAAGCCGGGAATGTGGACTCGCTGGCCTTGGGCTGCGAAATTGGTTCCTCGCAGATATCCAGACAGGACCACGGAGCGATCGCAATTGGGGTCCTCTTCGATCTTGGTGGGGTGGGTGATGTCTCTGTAGCTGTCGATAACGCTGAAGGGGTGTGTGTTCCTCCAGATCAAGGGTCGAGGGTTCTTCATGACAGATAGGTATCGGGACAGGTTGTGGATTTCGCGATCGGGGTAGCGGCCGTTGAGAACACCAGAGAGGTAGAAGAGATGTGCGCCCTGGTACAGCTCGCTCCAAAGCCTGCGCTTCAGTCTCCTCTTGGCATCTCTTAGCGCCTGCGGCTTGCGGAAGAGATCCAGGTGTGTAAGAATGCCGAAGACGTTGCCGGGCATGCCTGTGGCTGCAAGGACGTTGAGGAACTCCATCGTCTCCATCTCGAAACCAAAGTTGCCGTCGATCATGAGGAGTACCACATCTGCGACCTTGGCCATATCGACCATGGCCTCGAGTTCGTTCGGGCATTCGACAAAAGTCAAACGCTGTTTCTTCGAAGTGACAACGGTAACGGGGCCCTGCGGATCAGAGATTGATTCCTTTGCATATCGCCGGATCAGACTTTTCATCAGCGTCGTCTTGCCGACGCCGGGAGGGCCGACAATGGTAACGATTCGCGGAGGGGCTTCATCGGGAAGTCGGTCGACGAGGGGAACGTGGAAGCGCTTTTCTTTGATCTATTGCCCCCAAGTTAGTTCTCTGTGAGTTCTCACGGGCGAGACGTCGAAACATACATCGGAGGATCGAGCAGCTTGCCGCGCAAGTTTACCGGGAGCGTTGAATGCGAAAGCCTTCGGGTTGCGATCTGGATTCATGTCAACAGAGTCAAACAAGATAGACCAGACATGTTAACGACGTACCACCGGTGTGCTGCTTCTTCTCCTTGGCCTTCCTGTGAGGCTTGTGTACTTGTTGCTCCATGGTGGCCGACTCTGCCAATTCTGCAAGATTGGGGCGGACAACAGCTGGACAGGTCAGAACGGGACGGGTCGACGAGCATCGAGATAGTAGCCTGACACTTTTTTCTGGAGGACCCGATAAAATTTGCGAGAGATCGTTATCTAATCTTATCAGCTTATCGATACCGCTGGAACAGGTGAATGACGAACCCCACCTTGGTGCCCCTCACCCCCAAGGTGTCGAACCAGTGCACCGACCCGCACCTCAACCCCGCGGCTCGGGTTGTGGTAAAAAGTGTTTCGTCCATTGGCCCAACTTGATTCCCATACTTTCCATCTAGGTACATCGGATTGTGATTCTGAAGCTGCTCTCGTAATGCAAGACTGTGGCTGCTCGCTTTTGGCTCATGGAGCAGAGAATGATCACATCTAAGGGACTATGCAGGTGGAGATCGCCTAGACCTACCTGATCAGCCACAAGACCAGACCATTCTCCCAGTTATCTAGCTCCGTCTAGCGAGGTAGATTTACTCTGACGGGCATGTGCCCGGAAAGCCAGATCAGGTATGCACGAAATGCATATTTCAGGGAATGACGTAGACAAGCAGCCTGAGCATACATGCAACACGCACCACATCTGGCTCCATTCAGCACATCATCAGGTCAGGTGGCAGGTAGTCAGTATCAGGCACCGCCTAGCGGCATCTTACTTGTTATCTCACTGGATCGACGGAACGCAAATATACGAAGAGCGTACGAAGAAGGATTGGCCGGGCACTTATGCAAGGTGTACCCTCCCTCCTCTGTTACGCAGCGCATAAGATGCGACATCCGGGTTTTATAAGAAGCATCCAGCACCCTCGAGCATCCCAAGCAACTACCTTCCCGCAACAACGACTTTCATCACTTTCTCAGACAACCCAGCTCAGTCAGACCACCAACAGAAACGAAAACATGCCTTCCTACATCGTATGATTGTCCTTGAGCGGAATGTACTAGTTCAAAAGGCTTACCATCCTCAAGGTTACGTGCAAGCAGGGTGCGACCGACGAACAGGTCAACTCGTAAGTTGACTTAACCTGAAATGTCCCAGGAAGTATAGATTCTATTTGCTAACAGTGACACGCAGCGCGAAGGAGCACGCCAAGAGCCAGGGCGGCACGATCACGCACG